CGCTGGGGTGAACCAATTGGATGAAAAGCTTCAGTGCTTCATGGAGCTTCATCTGCCCATCACTAGATTATACTATGAAAAAGGAAAAGTTTTTAATTAAATTGCTAAGCAGATAAACTACTCAGAAACACCACTATGTTTGAGCAGGAACAGGAAGTGATACTCTACCACAAAGCAAGCGAACACCAAGTGACAGCACCAACAAGATGTGTGCCACATTATAAATGTGGCACTTACTAAGGCACTCTGTCTTCTGCAGTTTGAGCCCGACCTCTGTCTGAACTCTGTTTTGAACCTGAACTGAATCTGAAATTGACAAGCTGTTGCACACCAGTGCTCATTTCACAGCTGGAATGTGACAGTCCAAACACTTTCCAAACAGATTCCAAGATCATCAGTTCAAACAATTGCACATAAATGCTTACAAGTTATTTGGATATGTCACCACTATATGCCAAGGTCTGCAAGACCCAAACTGTCACCCTCAGATAAGAAGAAATTGGTGAGTGAGCCCAAGGACAACCAAGGAGCACCCAAGGATAAGGACAACCAAACAGTCAAAAAAATCACTAAAAGCCCCAAATTATGACGGTATTTGTGATGACTGTACGTAAACTTCTGACCACAACTGTACTTTCCGCATCTGTGTGCATGTGAGGTAGTGTAGACCAAGTGGCTAGGAAGGCGATAAGTAGACAGCATCAACATCAGTTTCTTTTAAGTGTACTTTTATTTTCGGCATCTCTATTATACCATTTTAAAACCTGGTAGGTAGTGATGGTCCGCTTGAAGCTGAAGCTCCGGTGCGTGTGTCAAAAAAATCAACACACTGCTTCAGAAGCACTGTGTTGAAGCTTGATTCGTTTGGCCAGAGTCACGTGATCAGTGACGTCCGAAGCTTCATTTAGAACCTAACTGCTTCGGTGTCTGATTCAATGGTTTATAAGGAAGCGAATCATTCGCGGGATTTGTGGTGTTTTGATGGTGACAGATAGCAAACCACCGATCATTCCATTGAGAGATTTGGAGCCAGCGAGGAATAGAGGAGGTTCTGTTGTGTGGGAGAATTTTGAGTTGATTTTGGTCAGTTGGGTGGGTTTTCCAGCTTTGTGTTCTGGCCGTTTGCTTTTGTTTTGTGCGTGTTTATTATATCTTATAATGGGAAAAAACTTAAAATGTCAAAAAAAAATCTGCTTTCATAGTATAAATATCATTAAATAACTTTAGAAAAACTTCCACTTGACTCTTTACATGTAATGTTATAAAAATATATATTTTATTGTTTAATTAATCTGAAAATGTTAGTCTGCCAAATGTGCAGCAATGTAATCTATTTATTCTCTTCAGCTGATAGTTTGTGGGGCCCAGGTAGACTGTATAACTGCATCTCTACCAGTTTCTCTGCATTCCAGCCTCCTCTGTTCCATGTGAAGGGATTTGCCTTAAGGCAGGAGAAATGATCTCCACGAAAAGGAACAGGTTCGGCCATCGCACAAATTCTCTTCTTAAATAAAAATGAGAAAGAGCTACTTTAAATGCATCATGTTTTTGTTCATAAGCATTTTCCCTTTCCATTTCACAATCAATTCTACCTCCAGGTCAAAAATATGTCTAGGAAAATTTCCCTAATATATAATATTATATATATTATATATGCTCACAGCAGAAGCATACTCCACAATGTGTTGTACATTATGTATATTATATGTAACGTGGTATTTTTCAATTATTGTATTTACCAACATCAAGAAGTCACAAGCAAAGAAAGACCACGCCATGGTGCATGTTTAAACAAGAAGAGTTTACTGGTCAAAATTATTTATTAAACAAATAAACCACATTTTCTTAACCTCCCAAAAATAAACTTTCAAAGCAACGGCGGACCAATATCAGTCATAATGAAGCAGTTGGTTTTATTTTGTGGATTCAAGCTGCTCTTCGTATTTTTGGCCACCAGATGTCACCAGAGAGGACTGTGTTGAAAAGCTTCGAGTAATGAACCGTTTTTCAATACAAGCTTCAGTGCTTCAGAAAGCTTCATTTGGCCATCACTACTGGTAGGCAAAATCTCACTTGCTTTCAACAGGACTTTACACACACCTGAACCTCATTAGTCTCTACCATTGAAAAATAGGTTGGAACAAACACTACAATTCTAATCAAAAAACAGGAATACGATTATGCATCCAGTCGACAAACTAATTTACCCAGCTAAATGGCCTGAAAAGTAAAACACTGCATACAATACAACTAAAAATAAAATAAATAATACTATACAAAATTAAAAACCCTCTAGTTGGTTGTACCCAGTTGGGCACCAATGACATCATGACCCTATATAAACAAGTACTGGGGCGGCCCCTCCCACGCACCTGTTTTAGATCTAGGACCTGAACAAATGGATAAACATGGTAAGTATAACCAAAGCAACATAAGCAAACATAATTTGTTAGAAATTGACCTGTGAACAGAAGAAAATTCAAAAGACTTGATGGTTAGTATAGTATTTGCTTTAGAAATATATGCATGGATGTAATGGATGTAACCAATTCTACCACAAACTAACCCGGGAAAGTATGTAAAGCAAAGTTACACCAGCAATGTCTAAATTAAAGCATTATGGTCAACTGTAAAAAAACAAACAAACAAACAAGGGATAAATTATCAATATGGTAGAGGGAGAAGTGATAAATGAGTTCAAGCATAGCTACTTTGTCACAGTGCACCAGAGGGTCCCAGTAATTATGTTTATCTTCAAAATCTGAGGTTTTGTAACCGTCATTTGCTAAGACACAAACTGCATATGGGCTGAAAAACCAGAATGGACATTGAATGTGAAAAGCAGCTGTCTGTTTCTTCTTACATGTGTACCAATAATCTTTAAATGGGCGGAGACAAACAAATATGCATTATGTCATCTTGTCCATGTGCACTAAAACATAGTCAACATCTCCATGACCATGGTATACTGTTGTGAACTGAAATCTTATACATTATATTGCCAAAAGTATTCATTCAGCCATCCAACTCACTGAATACAGGAGTTCATCATTTCCATGGCTACAGGTGTATAAAATCAAGCATGCTTCTACATGCCTAGGTGGATAGCTCTCTGGGGCTCAGTGAATTTCAGTGCCAGGATGCCACCTGTGCAGCTGTGAAATTGTGTCCACTTGTGAAATTTCTTTATTACTAAATATCAGTCAAATAGTCAACTATTAGCAGTTTTATAATAAAGTGGAAACAACTGGGAAGGACAGCAACAGTCATTAAAATAGTAGGCGATGTAAAATCACAGAGCGGGGTCAGCGACATCACTACAGACCTCCAAAGTTCATGTGGCCTACAGACTGGCTCAAGAACAGTTCATTGGGCGCTTCATGCAATGAGTTTCACTGGCTGGGCAGTTGCATCCAAGCTTTACATCACCAAATACAATGCAAAGCATCTGATGCAGTAGTTATAAGGCACACCACTAACTGATTCTAGAGCAGTTGAGACACTTTAACAGGTACATGGCAGAGTGGGGCACAGAAAGAAATGGGCATGAATACTACTACTGTCTACTGGTAGACAAAGCAGTTGCCCAAGACTGCAACAAGACCAGACATAAGAACAGTCATTTTTTACTATTCACACTACATTTCTCATTTATGTATTGATCAAACTTATATTTTGATTTCTTTGATTAAGAATAGCAGTGCTTTGTTATTAGGAAACAGGGAGAAGCTCTGTTTTAGCACTGATCATTTTTACTAACATCAGGACCTTTTAGTCTGTCTTGGCTGTGATGTGAAGGCAATCTCTTTCTGTCACAGGTCACTCACACACATACATCTATCTATCCACACACACACACACACACACACACACACACACACACACACACACACACACACACACACACACACACACACACACACACAATAACAAGAAGGTTCAGCAGTTCATGGCAAAACTTAGGCAACAGTGCAGATCACAGTGCTATAACTGCATGAAGGGCCTGAGCTCAAACTAGCTGGGGTCTGCGTGGCATTTCCATATTGTGCATGTACCATGTGGGTTATCTCATGTACTGTGCCTTCCCACAGCACAAGACATACTTATTAGATTATTTAGGTATTCTAAATTGCTGTGAATTCGAATGTTGTCTCGTTTTATAGCGTTACCTGTTTATGAGAACAACCATGTATGTATGTGTTGGGGTAAGCCACTAGGTGGCGACAAATAATCAGCATTACTAGTATAGTACTTCGACTTCCATTGTGTCATTGGTCTACTTCAATACGCACATGTAAATAGAACTGAAATAAGAACATATAAGAACCCAGTGTGTCATATATTATATCTTAGCCTGATTAAATCAAGTAGATTAACGATTGCTTATCTAGTTTGTGGCTTGCTGGCACCAGAGGTCAGAATAGAATGGCCAGACTGGTTCCACAGACAGTGTGACAAAGGATTATAGAGACTGTACATACAAAAAAGGGGAACTGGGACAGAGTAGAGACGCCTGGGGAAATTAATGTCATAAAGCAGAATGTCTATGTTGTGACATTCTGTACAACAGAACAGTTTTTTGATTAATCTTTTAATAAATCCATATTCTTTGATCTTTGAAAACGTTTCTGTAGCTTGTTTAAATATTATTTCATTTCATTTGTTTTTATGTGTTTCAGTTGGTTGGGCCACATACCATCGAAGTCATTTAAATATTATAAGGTACGGTGAGATAGCTAGCTGTATCCTTTAGTGTCGTTTTACACAGCAGTGAGCTGACTGCATCTGTGATGTCAAATGATTTAAAGCAATACATGATTTAATTTGTACTTTGTGCGTGTCTGTTTTTATTTTTACTTCCCCCCCATTCTTTACGTCATTATGAGTGTGCTACCATAGCTGGAAAAAAGTGGGCGGATACTTTTTTTAAATTGCATATTCACTTGTGGGTTTTGTTTTTTTTTTCCACGATTAGCTTTCAGTGGAGGTCATTGCTCTGAGCGAGCCGATCACTGACTGCTGTGTTTTTGTAGGAGATTTTATATGACAAAGGTTTTACATCAATGCGAGAGATGTCTGTAAACAACACAAAAGGACCTTGTGAGGGAAACCTAATCAATCTAAATTTTACGCACAGCTTTTTGCCGCCCGTCTTTATCACCGTGTTCATTGTCGGGACGGTGTCCAATATCTGTGGACTGAGAAGCGTATGTGTGAGCTGGAAGAAAAACGGAAACATCAACATCTTCATGTTCAATCTCGGGGTGGCGGACCTGCTGTATCTGTTTACCCTGCCGTTCCTCGTCTACTATTACGCGCGTGAGAGTGACTGGCAGTTTGGCCAGCCTTTCTGCAAGGTGACGCGCTTCTGCTTCAACCTCAACCTTTATGGCAGCATCGGCTTCCTTACCTGCATAAGCATCTATAGGTACCTGGGCATTGTGCACCCGATGAAAGTGATGGGGAAAATCACCAGTCGCCACTCTCTGGCCATAAGCGCTCTGGTCTGGGTTTTGGTCATTATTCAAATTACTCCTGATATATTCTTTGACAAGAATGATGAAAAAAAACCAAACTCGTGTTTTGACACCACCTCAACCAACCTGACCAGATACTACCTGCCATACAGCATCAGCTGGACGGTCACCGGGTTTGTCCTGCCTTTGGTCATCATTTTGGGCTGTTATGGACACATCGTGGTGGTTCTGGGAAAGAACGCCAATGTCAACCCACTGCTGAAGCAGCGATGTTTGAAACTGGTCGTGATTCTGGTCATACTTTTCTCCGTCTGTTTCATTCCCTACCATATATTTCGAAATTTAAATCTCACTACCAGGATTTTGAAACAAGATGGGCTTTGTCACCACCTCTTCGACGACATCTACATTGCACACCAGGTCGGCAGATTCCTGGCTTGTCTAAACAGCGCGATAAACCCGCTGATTTATATAGTAGGAAATGATGATTTCCTGACTAAGTTTCAAGACTTCAGTAATCGGACCAGGATGTCTCTTGCCGGACTCAAAAGCGCAATTATTTACCGCAAACCCATAGAAGCGGACGTGGATTTACCCGCAGACATGTGCACCAGTTTCGACAAGAGGAGTGGATAGGGCGCAGAATCAGTTTACGCGAGTTGCTCGTCTATACATGTCACGCACCGCCAGCACTTCCACAGATCCGTGAACAAAGTACGTGACTGCGACTGATGATTGTGCTTAAGGGAGGACTGGCGAGGGGTAGGTCACTGAGGTGTCAGTGCACAGAGAAAGTCAAGTGTCCGGATGGTTCCCTGGATGTTACCGAAAAGACTTAAAGCTGAAGCTCCAGCTCATATACCTCTATTTTTGAACTGTTCCAAGTGTTAAGCATTGTAACAACTTATATATTTTTATTTTCTGCGTATTTAGTAAGCCTCAAATCTTTCTTCTGTACAGTGCAGCAGGAAGTATGCTGTTGACACTTATTTGTGTTATGTGCTACACTGCCCTACCTTTGGACTGTTAGATGAAGCTTTGATATACTTCACCATGAGTTGTATTTTTCACCTCAACATGTAACCGACTCAGACTCAAACCATAAAAGGGATTTTAACAGCACTTGTTTTAAGAGTCTGGCACAGCCTAATTACTGCCGTTTGTTTAGAGAAAACGGACACAATACAGCAACAGCTATGTATGAAACTGGAGTGGACAGTCTGAAGTAGAAATACCACTAAAACTTTTCAAGTGCTCTCTTATTTCTTCTTCTTTTTTTCTTTAACCTAAATAAAAAAGTAATATCATCAAATGAATCCGCGTGTCACAAAGGTGAAATAATCTAATTATATCTCATACAGATGGGTAGCAAAGGCGATGCACATTATGCGGAACCCTCACGCGGTTCCATTGAAGTATGCGTGTCAAACATGCACCGTGGGAATAAAAGTTGCTGGGTTTCAGTCTGGTCCACTGTGTTGCTTTGCAAAATTTGAAAATCACAGCGAAGAATTAATAACGAATATATTGCCATCTCTGCTATGGGGAAACCACCATTACACAGGAATAAGAATACGGGCAAATATAGGCTACATGGGCTACAGTCAAGTATTTTTATACTGAAAAACGCGAAACTGTCTGGTTATTACATTTGCAAAGGTCTAACTTGTAGACCCCCCCCCCCCCAATTCTACAGACATAATAGCATTATTATTATTTTTATTTCGTTTTTAAAGACGCACTTTAAACACTAGTCCTCTGTTTTTCAAATGGTTGCTTTATTACAATCAGGATTTTGATCATCTTTACAATAAAAGAAAGTGTGACATGGTCTGGTTTTTGTTGGGTCCTTTCCTGGTTATTGTGATTATTGTGAGGTTATTGTATTACAAGTTTTTAGTTTACTTTTCATTGTTATTCTTGAGCTCTAGTTTTGATTTATTATTATGTTTCTAGGATTATTCTAGGACTATTCTAGTCTGGTGTTTTAGAAATATAATAATGGATTCTTTGTGTGTTAGTTGAACGTAGCCTCTCCTGTGCTTTTTCTATGTTTAATTAATTGTGCATGTCTTATCTTTAAATCTAGTTAGCAGGACTGTTTTAAGGTTTGGGGCCCAGATAAGAGAAAAAAAAAATCCCTTTTGGCCCGACCACTTTACTATTGCAAACCATGCCAGCCCTAAATCTGTAACACTTTGCAGACAAGGATCAATATTCTGTTTAAATAGATATTTTTATTTTATGCATGACTGATGAGATGTGTGCAAGTCATTTTTTACATTTTAATATTTTTATTGATAACATTACATTAAAAATATTTATTTATTCATTTATTTATTGTTTATTTATTTTACAGTGATTGGTACTTTACACAAAATATAACTATAAAATATATGTTAACTTTTTGGATGGAAGAGTATTTAAATTCTTATCTATAAAATGGTGAAAGTATTTTTTTTATAATATTAGGTATTGGAAAACATAACTTAAATAATCCTTTGGGTAATAATTAAACAAAGTATAGCCAAACAAAATAAGTTTAAATGTGATTTTGCAGCAGTCACAGGCAGTGTGCAAAACATATGCAGAGCAATGCACACTTGTCCAAAAATGCACTTTATGTGATGTTATAATGATAATGGATTATTAATTAAATTAATCAAATTAAAACATTAATAGTGCATGGGGAAAAAAGTCCCAAATGACATCCTGCAATTAGACATGTTTTGTTTTTTTTACTTAAAATAACTTACCTCATTCTTCACATATCAGTGGGGCTGGTTCAGTGTCAGGAGTGTGGGTGTGAGGATACAACAGCCTGAGCCAGAGGTTTGATCTGTTTGGCCTCGCAGCAGGTAGCAGATAAGTGATTTAGTACATTTAGTACAATTACGTGTTGGCTAAAATAACTCAAACACGTTATTTTTTGTTAGAAATTAAATATATTAGCTAATTAAGTCAAACAGTGTCTGTGGACTTTATTTGTTTCATTTCCCCCTGTCTCTTTTCTTTCTTTAAATACAGACTTCAATTTTAACTGAGCCATCCTAACGTCTTACTGCTCGGCATCAGCTAGGAGCAAGTGCACCTGGACCAAGCCAAACTGAAATAAAGAGGGTGGAGGCGAGGTCAGAGGCTGTTGATACAACAGAGCATGTTGTATCAACTAAATGGCAATGCTGAGCGCTTCTACAAACACTGGTGAAAAAACAGGTCGCTCAAAGGAGCCAGCATTAAACTTCAAAATGTGACCCAAGTCTTCACTGTCTAAAAGCAATGTTTAATTAACAAACTGGACATTTGCTGATACTGGACCTGTCCTGGGTTTGTGCTCTTCAGAGTACGCACTTGGAGCACATGAGGTTGCCTGTTTGCAGTAAGCTCGCTTTCAGTCTTTGCTGGATTGTACTATTTGTACACTAACCACAATTGGTAACCCTGGATCTCCTGTTTGCAGTGCAGCTTTGCCTATTCATCTGTTTTGGCCAACGCTGTAGGAATGGTATTGAAGATGGTTGCCATAAACATTGAGGCTACAGATCCATTGTAGCTTCTTTCTTTAGGAAAAATATCTGTATCAATAAATTATTACTAACCTAATGCCAAATGGGATAGTAATTTAAAGTGAGTGAGGATATTGTCTGTATTTTCAGTTTTGATAATCACAGTGGTGATACACACCATCTCTGACTGGAGTTTTAGGTTTTGTCAGTCAGCTAGGACAAAGACAGCCTGGCTCTGCCGAGGATCTCTGAGAACGTGAAACGTATTATAAAAGAGCTCTTTCAAACATTATCAGATCATGCTGGACTCCATGTGTCAGGTTGAAGTCCATGAATCTTGAGTCATCTTGAGTGCTGTTGTCATCAAAGCATTAGAAGGAAATTGAGATGGGTTACAGGTACACTCTTTAGGCATACTATTTTTAAGCCATTTTAAAAAATAGTTTATTTATCGCACTGAGAAGGTCCAAGTTGGAGAAAGGGCCCAGCCAGGAACCTGTTTGCTGTGAGGTGACAGCACTAACCACTGCAACACCCTGACATTTTTAACATGTTCAGCTAAGAGTGTTCAAATTTGTATAATTTGGCAGGAAAGTTTGTATTAAACATAAATTACATTTATCCAGTGGTCTCAATGTATTTTTGATGTCCTTCAGTAAATACCTGTTTCTTTAATGCCTTTCACAAAAGCACCATACATTTCTTTCCAGATGTGGAGCAACTTGGCAGTAAGCCCAGCTGCTAGTTATGTCATGTGCACATTTTCAGGAAAGGGTGTGCTTACAGTGGGGCAAAAAAGTATTTAGTCAGCCACCGATTGTGCAAGTTCCCCCACCTAAAATGATGACAGAGGTCAGTAATTTGCACCAGAGGTACACTTCAACTGTGAGAGACAGAATGTGAAAAAAAAAAAAATCCATGAATCCACATGTTAGGATTTGTAAAGAATTTATTCGTAAATCAGGGTGGAAAATAAGTATTTGGTCAATAACAAAAATACAACTCAATACTTTGTAACATAACCTTTGTTGGCAATAACAGAGGTCAAACGTTTACTATAGGTCTTTACCAGGTTTGCACACACAGTAGCTGGTATTTTGGCCCATTCCTCATTTTGGATCATTGTCATGTTGGAAGACCCAGCCTCGTTTCATCTTCAAAGTTCTCACTGATGGAAGGAGGTTTTGGCTCAAAATCTCACGATACATGGCCCCATTCATTCTGTCCTTAACACGGATCAGTCGTCCTGTCCCCTTGGCAGAAAAACAGCCCCATAGCATGATGTTTCCACCCATGCATGCTTCACAGTAGGTATGGTGTTCTTGGGATGCAACTCAGTATTCTTCTTCCTCCAAACACGACGAGTTGAGTTTATACCAAAAAGTTCTACTTTGGTTTCATCTGACCACATGACATTCTCCCAATCCTCTGCTGTATCATCCATGTGCTCTCTGGCAAACTTCAGACGGGCCTGGACGTGCACTGGCTTCAGCAGCGGAACACGTCTGGCACTGCGGGATTTGATTCCCTGCCGTTGTAGTGTGTTACTGATGGTGACCTTTGTTACTTTGGTCCCAGCTCTCTGCTGGTCATTCACCAGGTCCCCCCGTGTGGTTCTGGGATCTTTGCTCACCGTTCTCATGATCATTTTGACCCCACGGGATGAGATCTTGCGTGGAGCCCCAGATCGAGGGAGATTATCAGTGGTCTTGTATGTCTTCCATTTTCTGATGATTGCTCCCACAGTTGATTTTTTCACACCAAGCTGCTTGCCTATTGTAGATTCACTCTTCCCAGTCTGGTGCAGGTCTACAATACTTTTCCTGGTGTCCTTCGAAAGCTCTTTGGTCTTGGCCATGGCGGAGTTTGGAGTCTGACTGTTTGAGGCTGTGGACAGGTGTCTTTTATACAGATGATGAGTTCAAACAGGTGCCATTCATACAGGTAACGAGTGGGGGACAGAAAAGCTTCTTACAGAAGACGTTTCAGGTCTGTGAGAGCCAGAGATTTTCCTTGTTTGAGGTGACCAAATACTTATTTTCCACCCTGATTTACGAATAAATTCTTTACAAATCCTACCATGTGAATTCATGGATTTTTTTTTCACATTCTGTCTCTCACAGTTGAAGTGTACCTCTGGTGCAAATTACTGACCTCTGTCATCATTTTAAGTGGGGGAACTTGCACAATCGGTGGCTGACTAAATACTTTTTTGCCCCACTGTATGTAGCCTATAACAGCTCGGTCACGTAATTTCATAGTAACAGCACATTCCTTGCCTGTATAACATTTGCATGGTTTTTAATGCAAAAGCTCAGTAGAATAAAAAACACACATTTATAGCTTATCGTAAGAGAGTCTAAGGAACAAAAAGAAAAACAAAACAAAAGAAAAACAAGTTGCGAAGAAATGAATTAACAAGGTCTGACA